TAGAAACTTCCTTTTGCTCTTTCTCTTGCTCCGTATTTTTAATAAGCCTGAACATGTCTTGTTTCTGGTTTATAAAGCATGCCTGCTTTTCAGTCCAGTGCCACATATATCAAGCCTGCTTGATGTTTCCCTAAGATTTCACCCACTTTGAAAATTCCTGCACTCCTTACATGCCGTGTTCAATAATACATGATAAAAGAAGGATGAATAAAATTTCACTTAATGAGTACATTTTCACCTGTCAGAAGGGGAGCCTGGGGAATCGTGGCAGGCACTGGACGTGCGCAAGATGCATTCCAATCACCCAGGCACCAGCTAATGTCCCTCATGCCACCTTGTCCTTCTTATCACTTGTATTAGTGACAGGGTTGATCATCCAAGAGGCCATAGTATAAAGCATGTCTTTCAGCACTGAACTGAGACTTTTTCAGCTTTAAACAAATATCAGTGAGGACATTTTCATGCCCAGCCTTAAATACTCAGCAACTTATCAATTATACATCTAATGCAGAAACATTTCCCTACAGCGAGCTTAGAGATTACAGGACTTCCATGCACTAGTGGGTTGAGTTTAGACTACTCAATTATAACTCAATTACAGCATGTGAAATTTCCATCAGTAGTACTGCTCAAGTTCAAAGGTCATAGGTTTTACTTTAAAAGTCTTTAAACAATAAATGTAAATTGATAGAATACACAAATTTCAGTTATTGGATAATTTCATGTACACCTTGATCATCATAATAAGAGCAGTCTGTTTTGACACTTATCTTCATTGGGATCTGGTCTTTGGGCAGGATGGACAACCTTTTTCATTTTGAGAACCTAAACAGGGTCATTTTTTCCATCATAGCTTCTTTTTCATCAGGATGGAAGGTGGAGAGATGAGGAACCAGAGATAGACTTTGGTGGAAAAATATTCTACTTTGTCTTTTCTCTTCAATTTCCTTTCTGCTATGAAATAGTAAACCCAAGATCATCAGGCGCAGCCTTTTTGAGGATTCATTCACCCACCCATGCCAGCATTTCTGGCTGCTGGCAGCTGCTCCTCAGTAATTGGCACTCCACTCCCAAAAGTTTTGCCAGCACTAATAACTGAAGGGAAGGGGATATTTCTTTCCATGTACTGTGTATTTCTCAAGTTAAAGCAGAACTTTACCCATAACAACTTGATTAAAGATAATAAATGTTTATTAGCAAGGAACATACCATCCCCATTAATAATTATGCTACCAAAATGAGTGTGTGCTGTAAATTGTCTCCAGCATTGCTGCTGTCTCTTCTTGCCAGATACTGCCAGTTTGGTGAAGTCTAGAGCCCTTGAGCAGCAGTAAATATTTAGGTTGTCAGTAGATTTGCCTTTAGTGGCTCTGATTTTCTGCACAGTGCAAAAATAGAGAGCAACTGAGCATGTGCAAAGCAAAGTGAGACAGTGTATTACTGGATTTTAAGTAGTATAGGTACTTATTTGCAATGTGTTACATAGCTATACCTGCAAAAGAAGGCAGTCTGAAGTGATCTAGCAGGACTTAATTTTCTGACTAAAGTTCCACTTTAAGAAAAGCTTCATGAAAAATTCAGCAAAACAAAATATTATTTAGATGGGAATAGGCAAAGCCATCAGAGCAGTTGGAATTAAATCCTGAAAACTAACGCCCAAGAAAATTTGTTGCATAGCAATGGTAAAGCTGTTGCAAGTATCAGAGCAGCACAGTGGCTAAGTGACTAGCACTTCTGCCTGGCAGCACTAGAGTCATTGGTTCAAATCCCAATCATGACACTACCTACCTGGAGTTGGTATGTTCTCCTTGTGGGCATGGGTTTCCTCCCACACTGCAAAGACATGCTGGTAGGTTAATTGGCTCCTGTCTAAATTGGCCTTAGTATGTATGAATGTGGGTTAGGGACCTTAGATTGTGAGCTCCTTGAGGGTAAGGGACTGATGTGAATGTACAATATATATATGTGTAAATTTATGGCACTATATAAGTACCTGTAATAATAATAAAATAAAAAGTATTAGCGCTTGTAATATGCTCTGCCCTATTAAGCAGAATTGTTGTGAAGCATAAATGAGTAACCACACTGTCACTAATGCAAAAGGGGACACTACTGTCTGAAAAAATGACCCTTTCACCAATGAACATCAATATATAGAGGGCCCTTTTAACCACTGAACAGCGGTGTAAAGATAATATAATCAGAGTATTGTATTATGGTTGAAGTAGAAGTTGCTGTCCACTAGTTTGTTAAAGAGACCCTGCCACCAATTTACAAAAATTGCAGGCAAAATCACGGGAAAATATGTATTTTAAATACATGCAAAGTTTTTCATTTCCACCGAGATTTTTTATTTATTTGTAATGTGCCTTTGAACATACTAGGGAACTTGAGTCAATTTCCTAGCACTGCCACAGTTACCCCTCCCTCCTGCCATGCTATACCCATCTCCTCTTGTTGAAGTGTATCATTACAGTCTTTGCTGACATTCCTCCATCCTCACCCCCTACATACACTTTTATATGTAGCTGCTGAGGGGAGGCATTAAGGGAAATACCATAGAGTGTTACATGAGCGGCAGCTTTGAGCCTGCTGGAGCTGCTGACATCACTTTCATGATGGCAGCACCCAGGGGCAGTCCCAGGGCTTTTGGATGTGTACACAATGGAGGCTTTTTAATGACATGCCTAAAATATGTTAATGCACAGGTATATACATTTATGGGAAGATTGTTGTGGAAATGAAGAGTTCTGCAAAGGTGACCAAAGTGATAGGGCATATGCTGCTATGGGGCCCTGTGATATCTAATTTCATGAATTTGCTTTCAATTACACTACTGCCATGCTTTATTCTATATATAAAGACAGGTAGCCATTTCTTAGGACACATAAATGCCAGGTACAGACAAGGTGGGAAAGGGGGCATTCATTTCCTGTCTGTTGGCCATCAGTTCAGCTTGTCAGTTTGAAGCAAATTTTTTTAACACTTTGTAAAGTAAGTTAATGCTGTTTTAAAGCATCTTCCTAAAAGTATTTGTGCAGCATGCATATTGTTGCACATTTACCGTACTAAGAGTTTCAAGGTTTTCCTCAGTAGCGTGGATAAATGTGGTTTCTTCTGCTGCACACTTAGTGTTGTGCTAGATCTTACAGGTCTATTAGCAATCTTCTTGAGTACTTAATGTATTTGGCTTCCTTCATAGTCACCTTTGAGTGATGGATGTTGTATTCGCAGAAACATTCAGATGAAATCCCAGCAAAAAATTGACATTAGTGCCAGTCAGTTTTTAAAAAATAGGTTTAAGAGCCAGATGAATTGGCAAACTGCACATCCGGAATATTTACATAAACATTAGACCAATCTTCAAAGTACGGTTCGTCAATTGTGATAGCCTAAATTACTTTGTCTCCAGTCCTACTCTAGCCAATCATCTCCAGAAGGGCTTAATATTAATCCTGGGAATGACCACTTTCCACCTACACTCTGCCATGACCACATAACAGTCAGTATATAATACTAGTAGCTGAGTTTTACCTGCAAGAAATAGGGACACTTTACATGTTTCTTTTAAAGGTTCTCTTCTCTTGTGTAAAGCCTGAAGATGGGATCTAAGGGGCCTAGAAAGCTTGCATCTAATAAGATAATGGGCCTCTGTCCATAAACCATTCATTTCAGCAAAAAAAAATAATACCATAAGCAGGGGCGGACTGACAATTCATGGGGCCCCTGGGCAATAGGGGATCATGGGGCCCCTGTGTTCTTGCCCAAACTCAAAAAAGCCTATGAAAAAGGTACCAGGGGCCTCTCATGGGGCCCCCTACTGACCCCGTGCCCTCGGGCAGTGCCCGAGTTTTCAAATGGTCAGTCCGCCCCTGACCATAAGATTATATGTGCAATTGTGCATTTAACTTTTTTAATGTATTCGATTTATCTGCAAAAGTCCTGAGACTGCTGCTGGGCACTACTACCTTAGATATGATGACAGCACCCTCAGCAGACTCACAGCTGTTCCTCAGGGGACACTCTATTGCCCTGGTGCCCAACTTGTGGCCTGGGGACCACATGAGGCCCTTTGATGCTTTCTATGTGGCCTTTAGAGGTCCCTGCAGACACTAATCTGTTTTTCCCTATTGCCCTGTTAAAGTAGCAACCTCATGGAATATGTCTCCAGTCTATAACTGTCTCCTGAAGCATGTCCCCAGTCTCCAACAACCCTTATACAGTCTCTGACCATCTCTTGTATCATAGCTATAGTCTTTGATTATATCCTGTCGTATGTCTGCTCTCTCTGACAAATAATATTCACTGAATTCTGTTCTGTTCTGTTCTGTTCTGTTCCTTTCCTGTCAGGTATGTAAAATGGTTTGTAAGAAGGTTAAGGAGAGACAAAGAAGCTGGCCAAAGACAGAGAGACACTCATAGAAGAAAAGAGAGCTATGACACAAGGGGGGGAGAGAGCTGTGCTAGGGAACTGACTGGTTAAATCTTGTAGGAAGTTCAAAGGCTCATTGCAAGAGAATAACAAATCATTTATGGAAAGAAAAACACTGCATGTAAGCATGCAGATACCTCATTTTCTTGTGTTTTTACCTGTGTTTTTGATGTTAGTGACATGATCTCCTTAAATTAGCCAGTAAAATGTATCACTTAAACTCCAACTTTTTTCTCTAACTGATTTTTAACACAATACAAGACTATACTTCTGTAAAATAAAGTGTCAGGGCCACAAGGCATTGCTATTTACACAGAAAGGTGCATTTTGCCAGTTGCATAGCTGCCAAAATTTTAAAATGTTGATGCTGAACTAGTTTTAACCACTTGACAACCAGGCCATAGCCGAATGACAGCGCGGTTGTCCAGTTCTGGGAGGATATCACATGGTATCCTCCCAGAACGTGCCCCCCGCCCGCCCCCAGCGGCACACACTCAGCGCTGTCTGTGATCACTGTATACTACAGACACAGCTGATCACATGACAAGATAAAAGGCCAATCACAGCGGCCTTTTACCATGTGATCAGCTATGTCCAATTACACAGCTGATGACAAAGTAAATACAGTTGTTGGTTATCGGCTGCACTTTCCTCACACTGTCACAGCATGAGGAAGGTTCTGCCGATAACTGGCAAGTGTCGCAGAGGACATCTGCACTGATTGTCAGTGCCCTGATTACCAGTGCGGACCCATAAGTGCCCAGCATGGCGCCCAGCAGTGCCACCCAGCAGTGCCAGCAGTCAGTGCCAGCAGTCAGTGCTGCCTATCAGTGCCCATCAATGCTGCATATCATGCAGCATCATCAGTGCCTCCTCATCAATTTCCACCAGTGCAGCCTCATCAGTGCAGCCTAACAGTGCCCGTCAGTGCTGCCTATCAGTGCTGCCTCATCAGGGCCCATCAGTACCCATCAGTGCTGCCTATCAGTGCCCATTAGTGTTGCCTATCAATGCAGCCTCATCAACACACATCAGTGAAGGAGAAAATTTACCTGTTTGCAAAATTTTATAATAGAAACAAAGAAAAACTTTTTTTTTTTTTAATTTTTTGCTCTTTTTTCATTTACAGTTCAAAAAAATAAAGCACCCAGTGGCGATTAAATACCACCAAAAGATAACTCTATTTGTGCAAAAAAAATGATAAAAATGTCATATGGGTATAGTGTTCCATGACCGCGCAATTGTTATTCAAAGTGCAACAGCACTGAAAGCTGAAAATTGGCCTGGCCAGGAAGGGGGTAAAAGTGCCAGGTAGGAAAGTAGTTAAAGTGGAACTGCACTGCATCTGAGTACCACAAACCAAAAATGCTGCTGTATAATTAATTTTTAATATTCAAAATAAACTCCTCCATCCATCCATGTCTCCAAGCTTTATTTTTCTGAGAAATCATTTTGAAAAACACCTCCTGGCATTTCTGGCAGTTGCTATCTTGAATAAGGGCAGATGGTTCATGTAGTGGTTACTTCCTGGACTTCATCTGTTCTTAGCTCAAGCATTGGCTGAGCTGAGAACTCTCCCTCCCCTCCTAAAGACTCCTGGGATGTATGACATAATTTGCCTAGCTATGGAAACCAGGAAGTAAATGAAGGAATGCAAAAAAAAAAAGATTAAAACAAATAAATATGATATACTTTTCTATTTATTTACTAATGTTAGAATAGATTAGAAATAGTCTATGCTGATTAAGAGAGTGACGTTCCGCTTTAAGTAAACTTTTCTCCTGCTATATACACTTTCACATGGCTTACCAAACTAGATACTTTGTTATGGCACATGTTTTTTATTTCTGTTCTCAAAGATTTAGCAAATATACTCAGAGGTCAATTTATCATTGATTCGATGGACAATTTGCCCAACATTTACCATTTTTCCAGACAAGATTTGAATTTTCACATTCACTCTATTTATTGCAGTGATTTTCACCCATTTTAAAGGATGTTCATTCAAGATTTGCACAATATTAAAACATTTTCTATTATACCGTGTTATTGACTTTAGTAGGTTATGTGGCTGCAGAGATAAACAGTTAACATAATTCCAACTGTCAATCGTTAAATATGTTTATTCAGATTCCATTCCAAAATAGGTGGAATCAATAGGTGGAACCAAATCAATCCGCACATCTGAGTGCAGCTGGTTGGATTATGGCAGTGTTTCGGTTCTTTGAGGGTGATGTTCAAAACTGTTCCAATTTAACATTTTAAAGACTAGATCTGATTTATTCAGTGCTAAAGTGATAATATAGGTATAAGGCAGCAAAAAAAAAAAAGAAAGCAAGAATGAAAGGGAAATGTTCCCCCAAAAAAGAAGGTAGCATATGAAGACTGAGCATACAGTAATGCAACAAATATTTTTAAATGTTTCAATGATACAAGTGTGAGTTTGCAAGCTGATTACCGCTTCTCCGTTTGGAATATAATGAGAGTAATACCTACAGTGAAGGCTAAAGTCACTAAACTATAATGCATATGTTATTTACAACGTTTTTTTTTTTAGCCATGGGACTATTCATTTTAGGTAAATCATAGCTGTTATGGCAAACAACGATTGTTACAACCGGATATGACACCAAATTACAGCTCCTAAGCCAGTACTGCTCTTGATGTGTTAGCCTCCATGCTGAATAATAACCCCAGCACTCTAATCATAACTTATTTTTATGGTATGTCATTTTTCAGCATAATAGTTCTCTATGTGGGGCTTTCAGTACCAAAAATGTATAAATGAGAATGGTCCCCTAGGCAGGGGTGGACTGACCATTTGGAAACTCGGGCACTGCCCGAGGGCCTGGGGTCAGTAGGGGGCCCCATGAGATGCCCCTGGTACCTTTTTCATAGGCTTTTTTGAGTTTGGGCAAGGATACAGGGGCCCCATGATCCCCTATTGCCCGGGGGCCCCATGAGTTGTCAGTCCGCCCCTGCCCCTAGGTATTCCTAACTGAAAACTATCCGCAACCCCTACCTGAACACATCAACAAGCTCCTATTTCTTAGCCACCCTCCTAACACAGATTTCATTTTGGATAGAATTCGGGAGGGTTATAACTCTTGTAAGTAGGGTTGCATTGATACTGATACCAGTATCGGTGCTGATACTAAGCATCTGCATGAGCACTTGCACCTGTACCTAAAACTGATAACTTTTTTGTGCAGTGTGGTGTGATTTGAGCTCATACAAAATGAATGGGCTCAAATCGCACTTCAAAGAATCACATGTGATTTTAACAGGAATGCGGTGCAGTTCCTGTCCAAATCACATGATGTTTCCTGCATCGCTCCTGTGTGAACCCAGGCTTGTCATAGCGACTTCATCCTGGGTTCACACAGGAGCGGTCCTGGAAACTGCATGTGGTTCGGACAGGAATCGCACCGCATTCCTGTTCAAATTGCATGCGATTTTTTGCAGTGCGATTTGAGCCCATCCATTTTGTATGGGCTCAAACTGCACCGCATGAAAAATAGGTATTGGTAATTGGTATCAGCAAGTACCTGATAAAAAGCATCAATACTCATACTTTTAAAAATGGTATCAGTGCATCCTTACTTATAGGGTATTTATTTGCCATTTGTCTCCCATTTGAGAGATTTCTCCTCACTTCTTGTCTCATAGTCACAACAGAAACTGAAAGGAAATCCCTCCAAAGTGAGGGAATCCTTTATTGTCACCCATGTCACCAGAACTAGTGTCCTTATTGAAATATTTCTGTTCTGGTGACAACCCAAAATTTGGGGGTTTTTTTTCACTTTCATTTTCAGTGATAATGGTCACCAAGACAAATAAAGAGGGTTAATCTCCCTAATGTGGAAATAACCAGACAAGTGTTCTAATCCCTCTACACTCTATCCAAAAAAAAAAAAAGACTTTAGTAATACAGGTGTACTTCGGTTTACGAATTTAATGCATTCCCGGGACGTTTTGTATTGCGAAAAAATTTGTAAGAATGCACTGAAAACCAATTAATCTGTTCCGGATGTCAGAAAAAAGTTTTTAAAAAGTTGCTGTCACTATAGGTCAGTGGCGGTGTTTAAATGTAATTACCGGCTCTTTTTTTCTTCACTATAGCTCAGAGAATCAGCTGTCACTTTCCACCCAGCTAAAAGAAAAAAAGTTTCCTTTTAGTTTATTTCCCGAGTTAAAAGAAAGTTTCCTTTTAGTTTGTTTCCCAAGATAAAAGAAACAAAGTATCCTTTAGCTCAGGAGAAAGTGACAGCTAATTAATTCTTTGAGCTATAGTGAAGAAAACAAAAGCCGGCAATTGCATTTAAAAATCCGCATCGACACACACTTCATATTGCAAAAAAAATTGCATATTGCAAAAAAATTAGTAAACCGAGGCATTATTTTCAATGGATTTCAAACCAAAAATTATGCTAACCAAGGTGTTCGTAAACCAAGGTACACCTGTACTTTAACACTTCACCTGAACTTAATATTTAACCAACCATTCCCTATTATAGGAAGCTGCCATCTTAGCCTCTGTTTGATCTGCAACTGCCATGGAGCTGCACATGTGATCAGTTATGACACCAGCCATTTGATCGTATGACAGTTTAGTTGAGAACGCAGGCAAAAATGACAGTTAGCATTCCCAGCATGCCAAGAATGTAACTGTTTTTTGAATTTCAGTTCCACTTTACCCCCTGGTCACATCGGGTGCGACTTGGCATGCAATTTGCATGTAATGCGACTTGCAAATCATATGCTAAGTCGCACCCTATTGTCCGCTATTAGAGCGGTCATATTGGTGCGAGTCCTACTTGGTCAGAGCCGCACCGATTTCTTAGTGCATGCACTACTTTTGGAGCGATTTGCATAGACATCTGTGTCAGATGTCTTGCAAATTGCACCTTAAATTGGCATTGTCCCCCGACTTTGAAATCATGCGATTTCACTGTAAGTCGCACGATTTTTTATGTGATAGGGGTGTTAACCCACTTTAATGTCCCGACGTGGCCTTTCTTCCTCTTTATCTGGCGTCAGAGATCTCAGCTATAGAAAAACAAACGGCACCAATTCTAGAAACAACTGATTTGTGATTCTTTGACAACACGTTGCTTGTGTGAAGGAAATCATTTTGTTTCTAAATTTGTGTTTTATTTACTAAAAAAAAAAGATTCCAGAGATGAACCTACCATATACCACAGTATCCATGGTAACCTCACAGGCCTTTACTCACAACATTTTTTCCAGGGACTGGTTATAGTGCTGTCATTAATTAAAGCTACAATCAAAGACCTAGAAGAACATTAGGGGAGGCATGAGAAATGTGTGCATGCACAACCATCACATTCATGAAGCTACGTGCCATGAAGTGCTTTAAACTTCTCCACTTCATTGCTGCAATGCACTCTCCTAAATTTTATCAGCATTAGACTGGGACAGGGGTGGACTGACAACTCATGGAGCCCCGGCAATAGGGGATCATTGGGCCCCTGTGTCCTTGCCCAAACTCAAAAAAGCCTATGAAAAAGGTACCAGGGGCATCTCATGGGGCCCCCTACTGACCCCGGGCCCTCGGGCAGTGCCTGAGTTCCCAAATGGTCAGTCCACCCCTGGACTGGGATATATACAGTGCTGGGTATCTAGGGCCCACTTGCTTGTCCAGAGCAGGCCCTCTACCTTTTCCTCTAAGGCACAAGAAATGTTTTAGCTGGAGTTGGACTTTAAAATATCAGCAAACTGTGTTCTTTCAACAGTAAAAATGTTGAAAAAATAAATAAATGACTATGTGATGAAAAAGGAGCATGCAGCTAGGAAATATTTGAAAATATAAGTAATGTAAGTGTGTTAGCTAGACCAGGTGCTTATGTAGAAGCATGTTATTCTTTCACTATACCACTTTGTTATGCCTGTACATGCCACAGATCACTATGTCTGCAGTGACACCATAAGGCCTCATGCACAC